ATCTTTCTTTTACTCTTTTCTTTTATTTTTGGTGTGTTTTCTTAGTTTAGATTTATTGCTTTCTAGATTAGTTTAATTGCTTTCTTATATATGAAAAAAATTAAAAAAAATCTAAAAATACGTTCCAATGAATTGTAAATCATGCTTCCCTGTGCCCCTTACTTGAGAAATTTGTTTTGATTCTTGGGTATATGATGATAAATATTGTGGATTAGTTGATCATGATTTGATGTTTGATTGCCTTGAGACCTTAATATGCGTCAATTTTACCCAACTACTTGTGAATATAGTGCTTGACTAGTTGATTTGGTTAGGAATGTGTGTTAGTTCCTGGTATGTCAATGAATTTGAGTATTGGTTTGCAACTATAAGTAATGTTTATATGATTCATTATTATGCACATTGTGGAGGACGAAGGCATTTGTTCTTTTAGGTGGCCTTCTGATGTTTTTAGATACATTTGTTCCCTTCTTGCTACCCATGTTGTTGCCTTGACTTTTTATTGTTTATTAGCCACATTATAAGCCTATTTTGCCCCATTGGTTACTAGTCCCAAGCTTGGCTTGAGGGAGCTATTAGTGAGTGAGGTGAGGGAGTTTGTAGTGTGCTCATTATTTGCACAATTTGGGTGGGTTTTAAGAAGTTATTTTGTTCTTGATCATGTTTATTTTTGATGAGTTTGAAAGTTATATTTATGAAAAAAAAGAGAGAGAAGTTCAAGAAAAAAAAAAGTGAAAAAATATAAGTGAACTTCAAAAGAAAAAAAACAAAAGGAAAAAAAAGTGTTCAATGTTCAAATGTTCTAGTTGGAGGTTGATCAAAAGAAAGGAAAAAAAAGTGAGTTTCAATGAAAATCAGAGTTTGGAAAATAAAATTTGTTATTCACTCAAGTTCTATATTATTATATTTTTATGAATGATTTATTGTAAGTATTGAAAAATATTGTTTATATTGTTTGGAGTTGTATTTGGTGGATTTTTGTTAGAGTTGGTTATGTAGGAGATGTTGATCATTATTTATTTTGATCATGGGTTTTATTAGGATTTGCTCCCCTAAGCATAGCTTTTCTCTCATTTGTTCCCAAATGATTCCTACCCTTTACCCTAGCCTTACATTACAAGATTTAAAGACCTTCCGACCTTTGTGCATAGAGTTGTATGAATGTGAAAGTGTTGTTTATCAATGCAAGTTATGATTTGACATATTTCGAGTCGACTAGTAGGTTGAGCGTACATCTTTTTATACACACGAGAGTGTGAGTTGGGAGGGCATTGTTCACATAAAGGGGTTGGTTGGAGAGCGATCGAGTACATCTTTTACTCGCCACATAAATGAGAGTTAAGTGTGTGAGCACTAGTCTTGAATTCTATATGCTCTTGTGGTTTGCTCTATTTGACAATTGTTAGGGAAGAAGGGCAACTGGATGGATTTGATTGGTTCGTTTTGAAGCATGTTTATTTGATTTACCCTTAATTGTTTGTGCTTGATTTTTACTTTTTGGGGTGAAGCATATTTAATTATTCATTGATGAGATCTTTGCTTAGGGACAAGCAAAGATTTGGCTTGGGGGAGTTTGATGTGTCTATTTTATATAGTATTTTACCCCCGTCCCTTAGTCATAATTAGTAGTGTTTTTGGCTCTTTAGAGCCATTTTTATTATTAATTGGTGTTTTCTAGTGTTTTCGTAGATTTGGTTGACTTTTGCAGGGATTTGCACTTTTGGAGCATTTTCCCGAGATATTATGGAGCAATTACGAGAATTGGAGAAACACGACCAGTTTTTATAGCCCAGGGCCGGTTAGAGCCATCGAACCGGTGATTAAGGGCTCGGTATATGTGATACTGGGGCATTTGGACCGAGTATTCAAGACTCGAAGAGGAAACCCATAATGGCCCGAAGAATTGGAGCCTAATCGAAATCCAAATAGTGGCCCAAGAGAGCCGCCCTGCCAAAGAGGCTGGCGCCCGGAGGCGCGTCGGAAGCAAAGGCTGGCGCCCGAAGTAGCGCCCGGTCGGGCGCGAGAAATGTACCTGATGGAAAAAGGCGCGCCCGAACGGGCGCATGTTATTGTTAGGAGTTAATTATTCGACGTTTAAGTTTGTTTTAGTTTAGGATTCTTACGGAGTATAAATACTTTCCCGTAAAACGAGTTTAGGACCTTCTTTTACTCTTTCTTAATTATTTCTTAGATTTTCTCTCTCTACTTAGCTTTTAGATTAGTTTCTCTCTCATATACTTTGTTCTTAACTCTATTCTTAATTCCAGATTTATTTGGTAACGATTTCTCTTCTCTTAATCTTAGTTATTTATTTTATTCCTTTGATCACGTCTTGTTTTAAATTTATTGCTTTGATTAGTTTAGTTTTTATTATGTGTGAGTAGTTCTATTTCTAGGGTTTATGGGGATCCATAAATAATATGAAGGGGTAATTTATTGTTGTTAATTGTCAATGCTAGATTAATTTCCTATTGATTGATTTAATGCTCTGTGACTAGATTTGCGCAGATCTTTTATGCATGAGTTTAACAATATTGATTCGAGATTCGACAGATGAGAATTGATGTTTAGGTCTAGTTTCAATAGGCAGGTTAATTTATAAATGGTTAAGTCGAGATTCGAGAGATGAGATTTAATACCGGTAAATTAATTGTGTGATTGTAATACGTAGCGAAAGCCCTTTGTCATCTTATTAATGTATGCATTGATGATTAATTATTATTATGTTTTACCCTGGAATATTATTTATTGGTGAACCTATGCCCTAGATCCTTTTATTCATTGTTTTCTCCTTATTCTTAATCTTCGTAGTTTAGTTCCTTTTGCTTATAATATATTGGTTACTTCATAATCTAGATTATATTAGTTAATTAGGAATAGAAAGACTCGTTTCTCTGTGGATTCGACCCTACTTCCCTATGTACATTAGTTAGAGGATTTAGGAATTACTTTTGATTAGGGGATACGATTTTACCCTATCAAATGGGCGGGTTTTTAATAGAAGAGTATTGCCACTGGTTCAAACCGAACCGGTGGCAAAAGTTTTATAAAAAAAAAACGGTTCATCTATCTAGCTATATAACCCTAAACCCCCTAGTAACGTGCTACTCTCTCCGCCTCCTTCATTCTTCCTTCTCTCTCCTCTCCTTTCTCCCTTCTCTCTCCTCTCCCTTCGATCTCCTCTCTCTCTCTTCGTTCTTCTTTCATTCGATCTCCTCTCTCTCTCTCTCTCTTCGTTCTTCTTTCATCTCCCATTGATTCCACTGCAACAACAGCCGCCACCACCACCACATCATCACCACCACAAAGTTTGACCACCGCCGCAAATCCCACCGACATCAACATCAACAATAATTTCTGGGTATAATTTATACGAGGTTAGGGTTTAATTTATGGGTTTAATTCAATTTTAATCGATTTTGTTCGATTTAATTTAGGGTTTAAGTAATCGATTTTGGATTTTAATCGATTTTTTTGGGTTTATTTAATCGATTTTTGGATTTTAATTCGATTTTTGTGGGTATAATTATCCGAATTTAATGGGTTTTGTATTTTAATTTGTTTTTCTCGTTTTTTCTGGGTTTAATTTTGGGTTGATTAATCAATTTTAATTACATGCATGTGTTTTTTGGGTATTTTTTTTAATTGCATGCATGTGTATTTTTTAAGTTTATGGGTTATTTTTTTATTTTTTTTTGGGGATTTTGGTTTTTTTTTATAATTTTTTTTATAATTTTGTGTTAATAGGGTATAATAATTATCCGAATTTAATCGGTTTTGTTTTTTTTTTTTCAATTTTCAGTTTGTGAGTCATCTTCGTCGAATTCGGGGTCGAAGGAGAAAATTGATGGCCGATACTCTGCTTCTGCAATTCAGCTACTGAGCTCATCGAATCCATTTGTTTATTTATTTATTTATATATTTGGCAAGTGTAAAACTATTGATTATGAATTTCAATTATATTATGTATTATGTATATATATAACATTTTGGTGATTATGAATTTCAATTATATTTGGTGTAGCATTTGGTGTGTTATTATTAATTATGAATTAATGTTATATTTGGTGTTGTATTAGTTTTCTGCCAATTTTTAAGTGAACAAAGACCAAAATATATATATATATATATATATATATGGACATTTCTGTCACTGGTTAACTGGTGCCAAAAGGAGGGCGTATATTTTTTTGGGTTTTGACATTGGTTAACCGGTGCCAATTTCGAGTTTTGCCACCGGTTCAAACCGGTGGCTTTTCCATCCCCTAATTGGCACCCCCCACATTGGCACCGATTCAAAACCGGTGGCATTGAGGGGTTTTGAACCGGTGCCAATTTTGTTTTTTCTATTAAGCTAGTGTATATACTAGTTTTCTATTTTGTGTACTAGTATATGTATTTTCGAAAAATTTGATTATTTGATATCGTATGAGGTTTTTTTTTTGAAAAAAAGTAAATAAGATCTTGGGAATTAGATGATTGATTATATGTGCACTAGTACAAAAGTGACATTAGGTAACACCAAATGGTAACACTTTTATAGTTATGAACTTATTCGATATATAAGTAACACTTGAGTAACACTTTAGTTTTATGTAACACTTGGTTGTAACACTTTTATATTAGATAACACTTGATTGTATCATTTTGATATTAGGTAACACTTAGTTATAACACTTTGATTTTATGTGGGGTTGTAACATTTTGATACTAAAAAATAAAATAAAAACATAATCGTTCTTATTGAGTTCTCTTTCCTCAAAAAAAAAAAAAGAAAAATTATCTTTTCTCCTTTATTTCTCGTTCCCAATTCCTTAATATCTCAAAATCTCAGTTGGTTCCTCACTGTCGCCTAGCCCACGCTGACGCCCACCCACACTGGCGAAAAAAGTTCTCACCGACCTCCCACTGGGCAACGATCCACATGTCTGTCAATCTAGCATTCTTAGCGGCCGTTGCTACTCTTAGAGTGGATCGGAGTCTTTCCGTGAAAGGTAATCTTTAATTTTATGTAGGTTTTTTTTGTTGGATTATTGATTTCAATTTCAATGGAAACCAACCACAACCGCGCGTAATTTTGTCTCCTTATAGTACACCTCCCTATTTCTTCTCAAAGGCAAAAAATTCTAGGTATTTTTAAAAGTTTCATCAATGGTGTCCATAACAATGGGTGGAGCAGAGACGCCCCGCATTTTTGTTAGTATAATTAATCAATTTGGGGTTCCTCCATTGAGCGAACTTTTTTGTTTTTGCTTAAATACGTTATTTAAATTGATTGATTGTTCAACCCACCCTTTATTAATCGACAATATACTTCTAATTTTCTTATCAAAATTCCCTGATTTCATATTCTAAAACTCTTTGATTATCTTTTGATTATGTTATGTGGGTGTATCGTCATTGCCCCACTTATTAATTTGATGACCCAATTTCTTGATCTGATGATCCAATTTTTATTTATGTTGCTTTGTTAAGTGGGTTTTGATTTTTGAGGTACCCAATTTATTTTTGGCTTGAATTATAGTTTATTATCAGATTTTTTGGCTATGATAAATTTGGATCAGGGTATGATGATGTATTCATACTCTTCCATGCTTAAAGTTTTGATAGTGTAAGAAGCTAGTCTATTAACTGCATTGAGGAGAAAGGAGTTGATTGTGTGTGTAAAGGTTTGCAATTTCTCAGCTGAATATATAGCTGGTTTGAACATCTCTTTGAAGCAGTTAATTCAAGAGAGGATGTGTTAAGGAGATTGATTTGACGTTGTGTATTTGAAGTATGTTGAAGTTAGGTTGGGTGATTGAACATTTGCTTAAACATGGTTGATACTCCACTTTGTCGTAAAAAAGAAGGCGAGAAGAAATTGATTGTTCTATGATCATGAATCATGATTATCCTGTCAATTGTTACTTTGCTAGCTATATTGTAGACCCCAGTAGACTTGTGATCTATTAAACAATTCATGTCTCATTTTCATCTAACAAGCTCATAGAAATTAGTTTTATGTTTGCACGCCTTGTTCTATCAAATCTTGATCACAATTGTTCATGCATTGCAGCTTGGGTACCAATGGAAAATATCCTTTATTTAGGTGGACTAAATATTGCCTCTGAGATCTACAACAAAGAATATATGACCAATTTTTGCTTAATTAAAATCTTATTGAATTAGACTCACATTTCATTTCTACAGGGTAGTGATGAATGACACTTAATGCAAGAAAATCCATATTAGTTAGTTACATGAGTAGGCAAGACAGAGGCTGCAAATATAATTGTGCAATACCTTGTCTATTAGGTTGGTTGATTTTGTCCTCACATACAGTGGATTGTTGAGCAACAAGCTTTGGAGGTAAGAGTTCAATGTAATCAACTCTCACTGTTGAATTCGTAAAAAGGAGTTTTATGAGGAAAGCAGAAAAGAACATTAGTTTAACTAAAACAAAGATGACTCTATACTTAAATTACCTCATACCCCCTCTCTATAAATACTAAAACAAAGATGACTCAATACTTAAATTATTTTATACCCCCTCTATATAAATATAGAGAGCATCACTTACTTGTTTGTTGTATATTTGTTAATGACAGGTAAGTACTAGAAATTGTGAATTTTATAGTCTCATTGTAGTTCCATGCTTGTCTTGGTGTGAGGGGTATTTTACCTCGTACCTCCAAATTGATTGTATATTGGTTGCATACATATCCCGAATTACACTTGTTCTTTATATAGCCCTCATAATTCTTTCAAACCTAAATTGTCTGATATTTTTCAGCCGTGTGAATCATGCATTTCATTCTAGAATTTCCCATTGTCTCTTTGCTTTTTTCTTTCGGTCAAGGGTTTGGATGGCTATGGACTGGTGGGAATGTTTGATACGGTGAGTAAAAGAAATTGATCATATTTTCTGAAAATAGTTTCTTAAGTTATTTCTTTCCATTTTTGCAGTTTTGATGCTTATATTTTCAAAAAATAATTTCCACTGTTGGCTTATATTAATTCTTCAAATTTGATGCTGCAGTAAGGGGTTAATGGGGGTAGGGAGATAGGGAAACGAGATCCTAGTAATAATAGCACTAGTACAAAACTAATCTAAGTTTTAGGGAATTGATCTATATATGAAAAGATTGGAATGGGTTACTGTTTTTCAAGGTGAGCGATGTGACTATGTGACAATTGATAATTCTCTTCTCAAATATTGTGGTGTGATTGCGTAAGACTTTAATTTGTTGATGCTTGTAGTGCAATCAATTTAGCTAATGGTTTTGATTTGACACATCTTAATTGTTGGTGTGATTCTCAATTGATTTTTGTTATGTTTTTTTATACCGAAGTTGCAACTTGGATTGGTGTGTAGATCTAGATTATATTGCCATTGTGGTGGGTTACAAATGTATTGATCGGAAACTAATTTGTGTATCTTGTTTTATATACGAAGTAAATGAATTGAATTTGTATGTAAAAAAGTTTGCCTTCCCTCTTCCCCTCTTCTTTCTAATTACTTACTTTCTTGATTGATTATTGCTTGTAGTTAAGGGCTGTTTGGCATGACATAGTTTGTCGAAATTTCTCCAATTTTTGTTGTTAATGGAGAGGTAATTTCATGCCCCATCCCCTTTATGTATACTTTTTTTTTTTCCTGATTTTTAAATTTGTTTGATTAATCAATCTTATTTCTTGCTTTGAACAAGTTGGGTGATGAATATTTACCTTTGCTGATTTGAATGTTGTATAGGTTTTGATTCCTATTCTGAAACCAACTGGATACACCAGTGCTGATCCTTCTAAAATGTAAGCTTAATCTAACCTTCAATATTTAACTTTCTAGAGTTTATTATTAAGTTGTTGCATGTTGTGATGTTTCTGGTACTGTAATGTTTTGTTACATTCTCTAACTATCTATTTACTTCAACCAATTCTGATGCATGCGAAATTCTTTCGCTGTAATTGTGATGGCCATGCCAATAATTGTTGATGAGACTAGAGGACAATTTAAACTAGAATAGGAAATAGGGTAGAGACTAGGGGTCTGAGTTAGCAAAAGGTTGCAAGTTTGAAGGAGCAGCAACATAAGGCTGCAGTCTGATTTGTTTCCTCTCTCATTTTCTTTAGTTATTCAATGGTGATAGTTCTAATTGATTTATGTGATTTATCACTTACTATTTATATTTCTTTCACCACTCCACTAATCAAAACCTTACCATCCCGATATTCCCATCTCCCACCTCCTCTTTCTCTATTCCCTCTTTTCATTTTATTGCTATCCTCAACTTCTATTCTTCATCCTCAATTATCTGGGATTAAACAAAGAAAAATATAAGAAAGTTCTCATTTTTCGTGTTTCTCGTACGTATAGGTCTTCAATTTTCCCTCCTTTTCTTATTTGTAGATCGATTCAAATTTTGGGGAAACACCGGTTACGCTTGTCGTGTGTTGTTCAAATCACTTAAATGGTCTTGTGACTATGTTATATGAAATTTTTTATATGATCAAAATTAGTTGATGGAATTTGACTTATGGGTTTTTTTTTTTCATTAATTGATCTGTATAAATTGATATGATTTTTAGGTATGAACTGATTTGTATTACGATTGAATTATTGGATATTCAATGATATGAAGTTTAAATCTCGGAAATTCATTACTTGTGTGACATATAGATTTGCTATTGAAATGGATGTAATTGTGTTTGTGATTCAAGCTGTATGTTCGATTTAATTTACTTTGGCAATGCTAAATTTTTTTAGAAATATGCTAAGTTCATATATCATATGATCAGATGGCAATGGTTATTTTTCATAATGGCCTATTACATTCATTTTTTGTGTTCACTTGTCAAGCCTAATTATGTCTCTCTGTTTAACTTTAGTGTATATTCGATTGATTTTTTTTTTAATTAAGTGTACGATTGATGTAAAATTTCAAACACAAGACTATAGCATATTTGATTAATTTAGTTGTATTATGAGTGTGATTTTTTTCCCCCTTATTGTGCAGATTAATTGAAGACAAAGATACTCGTAAATCTTCAAGCAATTAGTAGAAGATAGAGAGATACTTGATTCCATTAGTTTTCTTTCCTTCGAGCAATTTTTTTTTCTTTTAATTTTAAAGTAATAGTGTAATGGAGTACTACTAAGATTTGATATATTTTGTTTTTTCTTGTATTTGACTTCACCTTTATCAATTAAAGATTAAATTTACTTTATTGATAATGAATATTGCTTGTGGTGAAGTAATTCGTACCATTTTTGTGATTTATTTAATAATAATAATAATATTCATAATAATAATAATATTCATAGTAATAATAATTATTATAATAATAAAAAATGTTACTTATTAATTGATAAGCGTTACATTAATTTGCAAAAAGTGATACATAATGTCAAATAAAGTGATACTATGTGTGATAATATGATTGAAAAATGTTACCTAGCTAATAACTAACAAGGTGTTACATTAGTTTGCAAAAGTGATACAAAAAGTCAGATAAAGTGTTACTATAAGATTGAAAAATGTTACTAAAGATTAGTTAGTGTTACCTAAGAAATAAAAAGTAACACATTAAAAATGATACTAATAATATTAAAAAGTGTTACATACAAGGGTTTATAGTAACACTTTTAAAAGTGTTACCATAAGTTATCCAAAGTGTTACATAAGACCTTAGGTAACATGGGCGGATGTATCACCCACTAAAGTGTTACCTATTGTCTATAATAACACTTTTACCACTTTATGTAACACTTTTTGGGTGTTACTTAAAGTTAGTTATGTACTAGTGGTGATTGATGGTCTATATGTCATGTAGGATGACTATGGTCTAATAGTACTGAAATTGAAGTATTGTTACTTGGAATTAAATTGATTTGTGCAATACTTGTGTACAGTGTAATCAGATGATTTAATCTAATAAAATGTACCATGAAATTTAATTAAGAAGGGAAATGAAGCCCGAAAGGGTGAAGAACATGTTGCCCACTAGTAGTTATGGTTGCTACTAGTTGGTTTAAATTATTGTATATTGTTGTTAGTCTTCCTCCTAATCACTGGGTATTAGTGAGGGTGTGCACACTAGGGACATTCTGTTTTATCTTATGGCCATTTGGGGTTACGCGCGACCCTTCGTAAATTAGGTGGTGACAGGGACTAGTCCTGGCTTACTGGCGTTCTCTTTCCCTCTTTTAACTAAAGTAATAAAATGTTATGCGACAAGTTGATTTTGGTTGAGTATTATAATGTCTATGAGACTATATCTTATATAAAATGCTTTTGAACTAAAATTATTTATTTTACGGGATGGAGTTGGAATTACTCAGTTTATCTGATTTTTGGGAGTTTTCTCTCTTTTCATGTTTCTGATTTATTTTGCAGGTTGGTAAGAGGGTACTCGGTTACGTGTGAGGAGACGTTAGAATAATCACGTAGCTGTAGGCATTGCTCGAAGTGCGCCTACGTTAGAGCATGTGTGAATATGCTTGGCACTCATAGGAAGTGGGAATTGACGTATATGATTAGGGACAAGGAAAGTAGAGAGCCGCCAACAAGTTTTTAAGGAACTTGTAAACCGTTCACGGATCATAAAAGGCAACCACGATAAAGGGACAACGAATGAAGGCAACAACGATTGACCCGTGAAGGTTACACCCCATTCATAATCCATGAGATTACTAACTCCATATGGTTCGGAACCACGGAAGGAGGATCGGGGATGATGGTACTATACGAAGTGAGTCATGGAGTCACATTCGCCCGTATTGGCCTCTACTCGATTCTTATTGTGAAAAGTGATTCCTGCGATCTCAAATGCATGCAAACAAAATATTCAATTTCCTCCAAACTATTATAACGCTAAATTGGTTTAATATTAATGCAACACATAATTCTAAAATATCGTGATCACTTGATTAAACAACAAGATTAAAAAGGAACCTAAACCGGTTGTCCAAATTATCTTATTAGGCGTGAGTTTCAATTACATATTCCCTTTAAACATGCAATATGGTGATCATAACAATAATAGAATAAACATTAATATTGGAAGCAATTTAACCATAATTCCAACAATATAAAATCGTTAGAAAAATAATAGAAATAAAAGGAACATAATTCTTACTTTGATTCTATTTGCTTGCAACTATAAAATAATAAACGAGTTAGTAACTTCAAGGAAATAATAATAAAACAATAATTAAATTAAATTAAATAGAATTGATTTGGGGCCAAACCCTCTAACAGTTCTACCTTTCAGGCCTTGGCTTAAGGTTAGAACCACGAGTAAAGTATGGACTCCTTGGAGTACTTGAAGAAGGAATTTTGAAAGAAGAAGGGTAGGCTAGTGTTTAGGCTAGAGCATAGAAGAGAGGAAAGATAGAGAATTAATTGATGCCCCGTACATCAGAAATGAGGGGGTATTTATAGAAAAAATGTGCTGAGGGAACACACGGAACCCTAAAATGATAAAAACCCTAAAAAAGTATACCGCGACACGACACTGTGTACCGTGACACGGGAATTCCCACCGTCAGACGGGAAAAATTCCCGTGACGCGGTGAACAGTTGTGTGACGCGAGAAATATTTTAGGGTACGGGGAATAAAACACGTGAAGGGTTTACGCGGAACGGACACGGAAACTCCCGTGTCACATCAAGTTTCCCGTGTCACGAGAAATCCCACCGTCAGACGGGACAGTTTCCCGTGACACGGTGGACTATTGCCGTGACGCGGGAATTTTTGTCCGTTTTTTCGTCTAAATTCATTTTTAACCCTAATTTCGTTCAGCATTTTAAGTGCCGATTGATAAGTTCGGGCCATTTCTGATTTATTATTATTTGGGCTAAAATAAGAAAATAAGTAAATAAAATAAATAAAAGATTTGGGCCAAAATAAATAATAAAACAATAAAATAATAAAAAAAAGGTTTGGGCTGAAATTAAAAAATCTATGCTTTGACCAACCATCAAGACTGATCCATGGACTATTCAAAAAAATGAATTTAATTAAACACAATTTTTTAAAGCACTTTCGGGATTAAATACTGAACCCGACCAATAGTGGCGGTGAAAGGTTGTTCATTATCGGGTTTGGTTTTGGGGAGACATTTTTAGGTGTCTACATAAGCCCCCACTTTGACTGAGTTTGTAGAAACGTTAGTTTCGAAAACGATAGTCAAAGTAGCCGATAGGGACGGAGAATGATTTAAGACGTTCTGCAATCCTAAATCACTCTGTATACACCGGTACCTGCAGAAAAATGTTAATTCCACATATAAAAGAGTAAAAAGATAGAATACGTATCTGGCACCAGTGTATCGGTGACAAATGAGTTTGGCAGGTTCCTATGCTTGAAGGAATCCACCGGATGACGTTCGTTGAAACGCTTTCCATGCCTGAGGAAAGCCGACTGATGAATTTGGTAACTTTCTAACTGAAGAAATCTACCAGATGATACTTTCCATGGTTAAGGAAAGCCGACATATGAATTTGGCGGTTTTCTATGCTTGAAGAAATCCACCGGATAATACTTTCCATGCTTGAGGAAAGTCGACAGATAATGAGAGTGCAAGTCTCTGTGTATCGAGAACCTTGTGCCATGAAATGATGGTGGTTCGATTGTCCCCGAACGTGGGCTGTAGTTGGTCCGCTTGTCCCCAAACGTGGGCTTTAGTTGGTTCGCTTGTCCCCGAACGTGGGTTGTAGTTGGTTCGCTTGTCCCCGAACGTGGGTTGTAGATGGTCCACTTGTCCCCGGACGTGGGCTGTAGATGGTCCGCCTGTCCCCGGACGTGGGCTGTAAATGGTTCGCTTGTCCCTGAACGTGGGTTGTAGATGGTCCGCTTGTCCCCGGGCGTAGGCTGGTTGTAAATGGTCCGCTTGTCCCCGGACTTGGGTTGTAAATGGTCTACTTGTCCCCGGACGTGGGCTGTAGATGGTCCGCTCCGGACGTGGGCTGTAGATGGTCCACTTGTCCCCGGACGTGGGCAGTAGATGAGACCTGCAAAAATAAATTTGCCAATGGACTCGTATATATTGTGATTGACTTGACCACTGACTTGACCAAGTTTGACTTGATGTGACATGACATGTGTATGACTTGTGAGTGTGTGTGTGTGTGTACATGTGTGTGTGCAGACACAAGCAAACGAAGATGCAAAAGCAAAAAATTTCCGTCAATTTTTGTCATGAGTGGAGGGTACCAACTTTCTCCCGAAAAAGAAAGATGTGAAAACTGAACTTTTATTTTCGAACTTCCCTCGATGAGAAAATTTTGAAAAAGTTTTTTTAAACTTCCCCAAAAGAAAAGACGCGAAAAAAAAAGAAAGAAGTTTTGAACTTCCTCGTTTGAGCAAGACAAAATGAATCGCATGGATTGAATTGCTTTTCTTGTCCTTAGGCCAAGAGGCTAAGGACAATTACATCATGTGACACGATAGATGAATTAACTTAGGTCTTGGAGCTAAGCATCATTTATGGTGTAAAGAAACGATCTTGAATGTCACTTAGGTCTGGAAGCTAAGCACGTATACAGATGAAGTGATTATTGCATAATGAACGTTGCTTAGGTCAAGGAGCTAAGCAGGATATGCTTTGTATGATTAAAAATCATTGATATATAAATGTTTCTCAGCACATTATGCGATGCATGAAACAATGAATATTTCTCAGGCCAGGAAGCTAAGCAAGTATACAATGTTTCTTCTAATGAATGTTGCCTTTAAATATGATGAAACATGCACAGTGTTGAAACAAGATTTCATGATAAAGGTCTCTTAAAGAGAAGGATTATTGATATGGATATGGATGTGTGAGTGAAGTGTGTGAATGTGATACTAAGGCTAGCTGCAAGGGTTATGGCGATGGAAAGAGATGTGAGAAGAGTCAAAGATGATGACTCTTTAGGTTAGGTAGGCTAAACGATGTAGGTTCAAACCCCCAAGTCTAGCTCCAGATGGTTAGGGGTAAGCATTGGATATTTTTGACTCGATCATGCATGGATATGAATATGAATGTGGCCGCACCTCGATGTGAGGTTGCCTACGTATCCGTTAGGAATCAGGCCGAACGTAGCTCTAACCGAACTTTGCACAAGTGCATGTACACCTCAAAGAGGTCTTTCAAGGGTTGTAATGTGGTTAAGTTGATGGTTTAAGGAAGAAAGGGGTAAAAGGCTCAAGACCCGAGAGAAGCCCCCAAGATGTGTAATTGTGAATTTGAAAATT